TGATCAGCATATTAGGACATCCATGCTTGTGCATGCAGCGGTCCCCAACCACAAGTCTCCAGCTCAGTGGGGTCTGGGGTAGCTTTTAAGAGGTTCTGCAAAGGGTAAGCACATAAAAAGCTGGACTGCTGGTGTTGAAGTCACATGTGTACTGGGAAAAAATGGACACTGGTAGCTGCGAACAGCTAGTCCCAGGTCCTGTCATCAAACCAAAGGCAAGGGTCCCGCTGAGGCTCTGGCAGGAAACGAGGAAGCTTAGGACAACCATAGGGTAGGGCAGGATGAGGCATGGCTTTCAAAAGGAACAGGGTTTTGGAGAAGAGAGGGAGGGAAAGGTTTGGGGTTCCCCATTGTTTTGAATTTAGCGTGGGAATAATGTTGATAACACATTGATGTTTAAGTAGTTAAGTAGTGCTTATCCCAAATCAAGGATTTTCCAGTTTCCCATGCTCTGCCAGTGAGCAGATGCACAGTGAGCTGGGAGGGAACATGGCCAGGAGAGCTGACCTGAACTAACCAAAGGGATATTCTGTATCATAGAACGTCAAGTTCAGTATATAAACTGGGTGAGTTGGCTGGAAGGGGCAGATTGCTGTTCGGGCATCACTCAGCGGGTGAGAAATTACACAGTGCATCACTTGTCTTTTCCTGAGTGTTATTTCTTTCTCTTTTTGTTATATTCCTTTTCATTACTATTATTATTGTTACTATATTTTACTATATTTTAGTTATTAAACTGTTCTAATCTCAACCCACGAGTTTTACTTTTTTTTTTTCAACTCTCCTCCCCATCCCACTGGGAGGGGGGAGGAGTGAGCGAGCGGCTGCGTGGTGCTTAGCTGCTGGCTGGGGTTAGACCGCAACACCCATCAGGAAGCCAGGCTGTGTCTGAGACACAGGGCAGCCAGGGACTTCCCAGATTTATTTGCTTACGGGGTGTAACCTCTGCAGAGCAGAGCTCAGAGAGGTGTGATGACTTGGATGGATCCAGGCCAGGACTGAGCTGGCACAGGCTGCCAGGGGACCCTGGAGGTGGCTGGGTCTGGGGCTTGGGGAGCTGGGACACAACAAAGTGACCCTCCAGTTCGGATTCAGTTATGATTGAACTTGTCATGGGAAGGAACCGTGTCTGGTTTGATACAGTTCAAGCTTCAGTGGGTGAAAAGTGGGGAGGGGTCTGGATTTAAAGGCTAGAAATGTTGAGGGGAGTTTTGGGAAGGTCAGTGGAGGAAATGGAAAGAGCCACGGATGAGTGAACAAGAGACAGGGGCTAGAAGGGGATCAGTGGGACTGGGATGTTCAGGGCAAGGGGATAGGTGAGGTTTGGGGTATTTTTTTCACATGCAGTTACCTCCTCTGCTGCTACTTTGGGGCACCATGGGTGAAGAGCTCTGGAGTGCTCATGCCCCGCAGCAGTGCTCCTGGTGGCAGCTGGTAGCGCTGCACAAGTAAAGCATATACTTCCTAGCATCTCATAACGATGATGTGTTTTCCCAAAGCAGTAAGTGGAAGCAGGTTTGGAGAACAGGTCTGTGAAAGGGCACTTGCGCAAAGGTTTGCTAAGGCTAAGCCTGTCAGCAGACAGTTCCTGCTCCTAACAGGCTTTTCCAAGTGCCCTCATGAGCACCAAGACTGCTAAGAGAGCTTAAGGAGCTGGGCTGAGTCATTGGACACGGGCTCAGAGCTGCTCCCACAGAGTCCCTCTTGCTCGTTTAGCCTCTCTGCACTCCTATATCAAAATTGGCACAAGAACCCTTTTTCCCTGCCTTCTTTCTACTCTCCTCAGAAGAGAGGTTAATCTTGGTAAATGCATCTCTTAAGGGGCATAATCCAACAGACCTTTGATTTCGTTTAGACTTCAAGGCACTATTAATACACATGATAAATTTATTTCTCTGAACAAAACATATTCTCTTCCTCCTATGAAGTCCAAAATGATCAGGTAGTGTGTTTGCTTTGAACAGCTATGGACATATGTAAGAGATGTGATTACCCTCATTTAGGTCTATATGCAGAGATCTTCTACAAATGTCACTGTCAGATGGATGTTTGAAGGAGTGTCAGGCCTTGTAAATACATCTGTTTTCGCTCAGATGCCTGCCAGAGCTCTGAAGTCACTTTGTCAGGGACTACAAATACTGCTGAGCTCATGACTGCCTCTGAACTGTTTGAGCTGTACCTCTTTACGTAACACAGAGGAAGATAAAGTTGTATTTGCTATTAGATCTTACCTCTGTTAATGAGTAAAGAAATGTAAACAAGGTTGTTTGGGTATTGTGGGTGACATTCAACTTTCCATCCAGCCTCTGCTGGCAATGCGTACTACATGTGTACCCAGAATTAACTAGAGAATTGCAGTGACCACAAAGAACAGCTCTATCCAGTCCCAAATATTAGTTTTTAGAGGCTGTGCTGGCAGATCAAACATCCAGGCCACTGCAGAGAAATACCCAGTGATGCTCCTTCTGAGCTGAGCTAGGAAGATCTTTTCAACTTTTCCTTTACTGTTTTATCTCTGCAGGAATCATCTTAATACATTTGGGGAATCACCTGCCTCAAAGCCCACTTCCCGAGGCACTTTGGGGTCTCTGCTCGAGTCACTGGCACAGCACGTCTTGAAAAGAGCCCTGCGAGACCCTTGCTATAACATTCTTTGCACATCAGACAGGATATAACTGGCACCACCACACCACAGGCTGTGCTGGCATCTCACATAGAACTTAAACATGTTGTGAGTCTTGTGACAGTTTGCAGGGAGCATCCTGCCTCCTTAGAGCCAACTTTGAGATACCTGAGCTTCCCCAGTCAAACCAGCCAAAACAAGTGTCTGCCTTTGGCTTGTTCCTTGCAGGGAGCAGCCAAAGCCACTGGTCCCTCTTCCAGAGACCTTCTGCTTGTAGCTGACTTATGAACAAATCTGTGTGAGGGCTGTACCCAAAATTCTGTAATGGAGGAAAGTATGAGCAGAGAAACCCCAAGGCGAGGGCTCCTGGGGACCAGCACCCACTCCTGTCCCCTTCTGCTGGCACAGCTCATGGTTTTGATTACAGCCAGGGCTTTTTTTTTCCTCAGGACCATGGGCAAGATTCTTAACAGATGAGAAAAAAATCTTTGTAAATACAAAGACAGGAAGGCCAGATCTGGCTGTTGAATTATGTCTGACTTTATAGCCCTGCCATGTTGACAGCTGCTCTCAGGGCTACCACGCTGGCATGGAAGCATGGACTCTTGAAACAATAGACCCTGATCTTTGGAAGAGGAGCCTAATCCTTCTGTTTTATCTCCCCCCACTTTGCTTATCAACATTTGTCAATGAGTAAGTTACTTTTGCTAGGACCCAGGGCAGAAAGTCTCTCTGAAACCCTCACCCAGTCTGTCTAGTTCCCTGGGATGCTGGTGTGGGACAGTGTTTTCTAAGCCAGTCGTAGCTGGGGCAAACGTTTTCCTGGCTTAAAATTGGTGGCACACGATGACCTTCCTGACCTGCCACAGCTCTGTTGTGCCTGGGGACCAGCCTGTGGCACATCCCTTCCTTGTGGTGGCTGCTGATCTGCTGGGCTCTGGAGATGGGCAGCTGTGAGGATGGGCAGGGAGCAAGCACGGTGGCTCAACCACCTTCATGGCACGAGTGTGGGAATCACTGATCCGTGGCAGGCACGTGGATTTTGGCTCTGCTTTCACCTCCAGTGCTCTTGGAGCCTCCTCTGCCCATGCTACAGAGATGGTTTGGCTGCAAATGGCCTCAGACTGGCCAAGGTGACTCCGGCCATTTGCACCTTTGAGCTGTTTATCCGCTCCCAGGTTCTTGTGATAAGACATTACCTGTTTGGAGGAGCCTGTTCTGATATGGCACGGGGGAAGTATTTACCATGTGCCATGGATCGACGCCTCCTGGTTCGTCTTGACAGACACACTGACACCGTGCAAGCGCCGGGGCTGGGCACGGCGGCTGCCGTCATGTGGCTTTCATTCAGCGGCGGCTGGCAGAGCCAGCTCGTGGGATTCGGGCCTCTCCACTGCTGGGGCTGTGTAAGGCGTGCCAGCACCAAAGCCCTGATTGTAGCTCCGTATTTACCCCTGCAAACATTTTTGTGCTCCGATGCGACATGTGCGTGTCACTGCGGAGTGCTGCCGATGCTGGTGGGGCCGCGACCGCGAGCCGTGTTTTGCGTGGAGGGGGACGGATGTGGCGTTTGCAGAGGGGAAGCCAAAGGGGACTGGCTTGGGAAGGGACGGCGAGGTGCAGCATGTGGGGTGGGGGCTGCAGGTCCGCTGTGCGCAAATTGGGGAACTTGTGACCAGCGGGGCAGGTATAGTCTTTGAGGGGATAATTGCTTCCCAAAGTGAAGTGGTTTCCTGAATATGGCTATAGCCCGGGCAAGCCGTGCAGCAGCACAGTGCCTCTTACAGCCCACGATGCTATTGGTGGCCACTCCACCCCTGCCCTGATGCACAGCGTGTTTGCACCCCAGGGAGCATGTTATACCCTCGGGGGTGCATGATCAGCTGCTCCTCCACCATGGCCTCACATGGGCCCCACTTTGCAGTCACCACAGCCTCCACTCACGCCTCTCTCAGCTTCCTACCCCCTCCCACAGTGCGTGCATTTCGCCTGAATTTTATCATCACCTCACTGGAAAGAACACCAGCCTCGCAGGAGGCCGGTGCAAGGGCTCTGGGGCTGGTTGAGTGGGAAATCTGGGAGCCCCAGGTCCCCTCTAGTACCCTCTCCACTGTGCCCCCCCGGCGGCAGCGGGCAGGGCCGGTTCACCAGAGGGAGCTGGGGGGGGGGGGGGGGGTGCCGGTCCCGGGACGGGGCTGGAGGCGCTGCAGGCCGCCTCGCAAACCCCAACCCCGCCGCATCGGGGTTCGGTGCACGGGGCTGGTGCTCGGCGGGGCCGGGGATGATGCCGGGGGCGAGGGCCCGGTGCGCGGGGGCGGTGCCGGGGGCGGTACGCGGGGCCGGGGCCGGGCAGGGTGCGCGGCGGCGGCGGCGGGGGATGGCGGCGGCGGAGCTGCGGGAGCTGCGGGAGCTGGTGGAGCGGGGGGGCGGGCGGCAGGCCGTGCTGCTGGTGGCCGAGGTGGCGGAGGGGGCTCCGGTGGCGGCCACGCTGGCCGCCTTCGCCCGCGACCTCCTGGGTGACGAGGCGCCGCCGGGGCCGGGGCCGGGGCCGGGGCCGGGGCCGGGGCCGGGGCCGGGGCCGGGGCCGGGGTGCGGGTCCCGGCGGCGGACCGCCGGCGGGCGGCGGGGGCTGAGAGCGCGGCTGCTGCTGGTGCTGTGCCGCGGCGGGGTGGCGCGGAGCCGCGGGGCCCGGGCCCGGCTGCGGGAGGTGGTGCGGGACGTTCGCGGCCGCCTGCCCCCGGTCCCGCCGCCCGCCGTCGTCGGCGTCCTCCTGCCCGGCGGGGACGGGGAGGACGCGGCGGTGCTGGACGCGGCGCTGCGGCGGCAATTCCCGGTACCCGGTACGGTGCAGGCGGCCCGGTACGGCCCCGGTAGCCCCGCCGCCCTCCGCGCCTGCCGCGCCGCCGCCTGCCGCGCCCTGCGTGCCGCCCTGCAGCATCCCGCAGGTACCGGGCGGGGGGGGACGGGGACGGACCGGCCGCTCCTTCCCCCGGGGGTCGGGGGCTTTTACAGTGCGATTTGCTCCGTGTTCCTGGGGGACCTTTCCCCTGCTCGGTGGGACCTACCGCGTCCCTAATGCGATCTGGACACTCCTGGTGGGATCCCCCCCCCCGCCCCAATGGGATCTGGCTTTTCCCATCGGGATCTGACGGCTCCTGGTGGGATCTTCCCCCCCAGCCATTCTGATCTGGCTTTCCCCGGTTGGGTCTCTTCCATGCTGGTGGGAGCAGACCCTTCCCGATGGGATCTGCCTCTCCGCTGGGGTTCCCAGCCTTGGAAGCTGGAGAGGACAAACTTCCCAGCGGGTTGGGAAGCACTAGAGCAGCTCATGGATAGCAGGGATGTGGCAGTGGATGGCTGTGACATTGTGGCCACCCATGTGACATGGTGGCCATCCGCGCTTATGGATGTGTGTTTTTGGGGACGCAGGACTGGGGAGCAGCCCTTGCTGTAGGGTGTGGGCAGGACCTGACCTTCCTGTAGGAGGAAAATGCTTATGCTGGCTTTGCATAATTAATAAGAACAACAGCAAGTGGGTGTTTGGGTTTAAAACCACGCGTCTGTTGGTGGCCAGTTTAAGCAAAGTGAGGATGGCAGGATGAAAGCCGGGTGTCAGGCAGGCCTCGAGGAACAGCACTTGCCCTGCAGCGTAAGGCGAATCATGTTTGCGTGCAAACGCAGGGTGATGGGCAGCTGGGCAGGCTCAGCTGTCTCAGCAGCCACACAAAACAGCCCGGGCTCACTTTAATCCTTGGCATTGCTTGTCTTCGGCTGTTTCCCTTTCCTCCTCCATTCTTACATTTTTTTTTCCCACTTTTCCCTTGCTCCCTGTCATTTCCAGGGGCTCTGGTGTTCTGTCTTGAGGCTTTTACCCCAAGGGATTTTGGCACTTGCATGCAGCACTACATTAGCAAGGCTCTCTGGGGTCCCTGGGACACAGGGATGGTTGGCTGCAGCTCAGGTGCTTCTTCCTGGATCTGAATATTGAGGAGGTTTGAGATGGCTGGGACACACAGAGAGAGTGCAGGGCTGTCTTCTGCCAACTCTTTGTACTGAGGCATGCACGATCCCCTTCCCAGCTTCTCTCTTTTCACATGCTTTTGTCTTCCTCACATTGTTCCTGCTGCAAGAATTTCTGGTGTGCTCCCAGATGCCAGTGAGCCCTCCAGTTCTGGTCACAGCAGCCTGGTGGGACAGCAGCTGCAGAGGCAGAAAAACATCCCTGCATGTGTGACTTTTTTCCACCTCTGCACATGGCTGGTGCTTGGCTTAGTCCATGTATTTTTGTGGCTGGCTGTGGATTTGTCCTCTGTGTGGACATGGAAGCAGCATAGCAGCCGGCAGTGGAGAAAGAGGAGCAGAAGGAGCTGGAGCAGATGTTGCAGCCTGCCTGTGCATGCTTTCTAAGCGTGGTGGGTAGGAGGACTCAGCGTGTTGCTTTAATTCACCTCTGATGATCTGCCTGGTGCTCTTAGTCATGTAAGTGTCCCAGGACCTGCATGTGTAATGAGGACACTCATCAGCTGCAAGGTTCAACCTTAAGCAGGGGCAGCTTCTTTCCATGCCCCTGCAAGACTTCCAAAATCTCCATATGGCCAGAGGGATCCCAAGCATAGCTGTGACTCCAGAGAGTGGGGGACCTGGCAGTACCGGGCACCAGCCTTGTGGCAGCCTGGTCTCCTTCACCCCATGGCTTTCCTCCCAGGCATGAGTGGAATAATAACTTTATTATTAAGTGAGAGAGGACAGTGGAAAAGATGGGCAAGGGGCTGCGGAGCACCCTGCAAGGCAAGGTCTAGGGCTGCCAGTGTAAGGATGTCCTCAGTCAGGGCTGAGCTTATTTCCCCTCTTGGTTTTGAAAGGGCCTTGTGCCAAGCTGAAAAAAGATTCTCTTGCATCTGGATAAAGGTGCTGGGAGGCATACAGAGTATAAGGCTCTGTGTACGTGTGTTTGTGCCTGTTTTATTTCAGCCCAGCTTCCGAGCCTCTTCCTCTTCCACACACATCGCTGCTCAGCTCTGCCCGACAGTTGCTCTGGAGCTGCAGCCTGTGCTGGCAATGTCACCAACTGTCATTTGTGTAGTGGAGCTGGGACAGGAATGGCAGTGGAGTTCCTGCATCTGTCTAGCTGGGCTGCTATCCTGTCGTGCCTCAGTGGTGTCCAGAGTCCCCACACACTGCGAGGAAGGGATGTGTTTATGGCTGGAGGTTTTCGTTTGTTGACCGGCAGGAAAGACTGCCACTGTGAACCCTTTAGTGTCGCAACGGTTTGATAAGCTGAAGGACGCTGAAGTGGTTTGTCATTTGTTATCTGATTAGGAGGTGAAAGGCTATGCGATATTTGAATGGAGATGCTGAACTGCTGCTATTGGAGACCATATAAAATACGCCGGTGTAGTGTTTTACAAGCTGCGATAGTGTTTTACTATAATGGCTTGAAAACCTGTAGTAACTTGCTGTGACTTTCGTTGTCCTCCAGAACAAATACTACACATGGATGGAGGCCACATGCTGTTTGCATTTTGCATGCAGTTACAGCGTAAAGTTTTCAGTGTGCTGCAAGTCTGCGTGTCCAGCAGGTCTGCCTAGGAAGAAGGAATTGCTTAACAGAGTGGGGAGCGGTAATTAGGTTGATGTGGCAGAAGCTGATGTGTGATAATACAAAAGAAAAACTTCCTTCTGCAGGAATGCCCTAAGCATGTCAGTCCCCAGCTTCGCCACGTGTGCTGGCTGAGCTCCTGCCAGGTTTCTTGCTTGCTTTGGGCTGCCACATCCAGGATGGTTTTGGCAGTGAGGTGGCAAAGTAGAAGCCGAGACCGGAGACAAATTTCCAGGGTAGGAGAGATGTTTCAGCCTGAAATAAGGATTGCCAGGAGCTGCTCTGTGCTTTCCAGGGGTGGGCTCTGTGAAGTGGACCTGGTTTTGCTGTAAGGAGGTTGGGCTCATGGAGAGGAGGTGTTGTGAGTCAGTAGCAGGGAGGTAAGGGGAGCAGCAGGGCTGACCCACTGCTGGTCTGAACTCATCTTCTCTCATTTATCCAGAAGAGGGGAAGGGCAGAGAGAGGTGGAGGCTCCCATCCTTCCTGCGGTGCATTTCTTGGAGCCAAAGGAGCCGGAAAAAAGGTCACGAAGCAAAAGCTGCAAACAGTGTTCATGAAGGTATGCCCAGCTCCCTCCCTTGTACTCCTGCCGTGACTGTCAGAGGTTCCTCACTGACTCACGCATGGTCCTGGTGCCCAAATCCCTTGCTGGTGGCCTCCTTAAGCTACTTGCAGCTCCACAGCTGACATCCCTTCCCTGGCTGTGGTTCATCCAGAACCTGAAGACAACCAGTGCACATCTGGCTGCTGTGTTGCCATCTCACTGTTTGCTGACCTTTTGCTTGTCTAAATAAAACCACGCTGGGTCTGGTGTCCAACTACACCCCTGGGAGCACTGCTGAACTCAGCTGTGCTTTGCTGGAGTTTCTGGCAGCAGAACTGCTGTCTGTCTAAACAATGAATTGGAAGCATCACCCTGATCTTACGTGATGTTTTCTGCAAACACAGCTGGAAGGACTGTTCCCAAACCACTTGCATTTGGGGCTGGCGGGGAGGAGGAAGAGGGCAGTCAGCCTTGGGCTCCCTGATTCTAAAGGAAATTGTTCAGGTAACGAATAGCCTAGCGTTCGGCCTTTGCTGTACCATTGGCACTTCCACTTGCCTTTCCCAGCAGTGAGTTTCTTTTTGCAGAAGTGCTCCCATGCAGGAGGCTACAAGGTGCGTAGTGTGGAGATCCAGACTGCTCTGTAGAGCACATAGAGGAGGTGAAGCTCCTTCAGCGTGAATGGAATGGAATGGAATAGAATAGAATAGAATAGAATAGAATAGAATAGAATAGAATAGAATAGAATAGAATAGAATAGAATAGAATAGAATAGAATAGAATAGAATATTTTCAGTTAGAATGGATCTGTCTAGTCCAACTGTCTGACCACTTCAAGGCTGACTGAAAGTTCAAGAATGTTATTAAGGGCATTGTCCAAATGCCTGTTAAACACACAAAATGCTTAAAAAGCATAAAGGTTGGAGAAGAGAACTTAAAAGCCCAATTTGTGCAGCTTTGAGACAAGTCCTCTAGGGTCAAAAAATTTAAGTGTCTGATCTTGCTGTCAGTGCCAGGCACGTGACTCCTCGTGGTCATGAAGCTCATTCTGAGATTGCTGAGACTGCATGAGGCTGGGGAGCTGGGCCTCATGCTCCTTTGCTTATAGATCACCCCTGTTTGTTGAAGCAAGGTTGAGTTTGTAAAACAAAATTAAAATCAGTTATGAGAAAAGTCAGCTGTACTTTGGTTGTGAGTATATATCAATTGCTTCATCCCATGCTCTCTTTTCATCTGAAGTTGCATTTTGCATGAAGAAGGGTTTCCCATTCAGACCACCCTTGACCTCTCTCTGCTCTTTGCAGATGACCTACAGGACCCTGAGGAAGAAGTGGCTCTGACCAGCTTGTCCCCCAATGGAAACTACGAAGAAGCTGCTGGAGGCATGGGCACCTAGAGCTGCTGGGTGCCCAGCACAGTCCACATTCTGGATCTGCCCAGTGGATTTGGAGCAGTGGGAGGAGGAGCTGGTGCATGCCCACTCACCCTCTCCTCCAACGACCCACAACTCCGGGAAGAAGTTGCTCAGCTTCAATCGCCAGGGTCTTCTGTAGCTGCTGACAGCCTCTGAGGTCCGTGCCAGAGAGCCATCCCCTGCTGTGCCCTGCTGCCCGGGGGTGCCTGGAGCTGCTACTGGACACGGGCTTCTGAGAAGCCCTTCGGGGATGTATCCCATGTCCTGAGCAAGATGACGTTGGAACTTTGAGTGTGAAATGCAGCCACGTGCTTGAAGAATGAGGAACACTTTCTAATACTGAGCAAAGTTCCCTGCTGAGATTGCTGGGGCTGGACTCCCTGGCAAACAGATTGTGCTGCCTTGTTTTCCTGCTTTATTGAAGCTTTGAAGTTCCCGCCCTCTCTCTGGTCAGGCTAAAAAAAAAAAAAAGACAAATAACACAGTGGCATGGAGACTGCAGTGAGACTAAATAGGAGGTCTCGGATCTACCAGCTACTGAAAAGGCTTGAATGTAATTATGTAATGTGAAGAATGTAATAATACCCCACTGTGGGTAGGAAGAATAATGCAGAAGACTCTGACAATAATGGCAGCTGGAGCAGAGTGTGGTTTGGGAGCAGGATCCCCCCCTCTGGTTTGTCCTGGTGCTCACAGACTGACTGACAGACTGCTTGGGTCGGAGAGGGTGGCAGATGGACGCTGAGCTGTGACTGATGCTAGATGGGGTTACGGGAGAGGCCCATCTTACCCGGGACATCTCCACAGCCATGTGGTGGCAGGTCTTGGAGGTGGCCTGCAGCACAAGATGTGGCCGCTTCATAAATAAATATAAAAATATAATCTATTTAAGTAGTTTCAAAGGGCTGCTTGCAGCCCATGGGGAACACAATTAATTACAAATACCTGATTTATGAGGAACATTACTATAATGCTAAGAACACCTTTTTTATTCTTTAATGTAACATAAAACAGGCCTTTTTTTATTTTTAGCACAAACTGCTGGGTTTCGTTTGGGGCTGGTCATCCTTTCGGAGTTTCCTCCAGCTCAGACCAGAGACTTCAACCTGTCGTGTCCTGCCTATCTCTCCTCTGGGTTAGCTGCTGAATTATGTCAGTGAGTCCTCCGTGCATGTCTGTCCTTTCTCTGGCTCCTTTTTTCCCAGTGGCAGCTGAAGTGTTTGCAGTCCTGCCAGCTTCGGCCAGCACTCTCTCCCAGCAGCGTGCCTTTGGCATCTCTCTTGCTCTCACCTGGAGCAGGGAGTGGGTTTTTTTACTCAGCTCTGCTCATGACCATGTTCATCAACATTTTTCAATTAACCATTTTTCCGTGCCTCAGTTTCCCCACCAGGAGGATGCAGACAGCAATGCCTACCTACCTTGCTGGGGTTATGACGGTAACGCTGGAGTAGAGCTTAGCAGCTCTCGGGTTTAGGGTCGGTCCCTTTAGTGACGGTGCTACTTTGCCCTGTTGCCTAGAAGAGAGCGGCTGAGGGTGCCTGTGGCACGCAGTGACAGTAAAGTCACTTGGGGTGGGTGTGTGGGTGGCTGCTTTCATGACCCCGGGCTTCAGCACCGAGTACCAAGTGTATCTGGGCGAGATGAAGGCATCCTCCTGCCCTGTCTCGGGCGTGAGCACGGAGGTGTGCTGTGCGGAGGATTCCCTCTGCTCATCTTCACAGCAGAGCCCAGGTCACTGGGTGGTCACGTACTTCCCTGATAAAGCCCTTGGTTAGGTCAGTCCAGTAGGACTTGACAGTATGATCAGGTGAATCTTTATTTTCTTGCAGTATTTGGCCTTTGCCATCTAGAATTTACCAAGTAAGAGGTGGCCCAAGAGTACAGATTTGCAGTTAAACCTATCTTAGAGCTACAAATCCAATGGATTTATTTCGTGGTAATTTTTAAGTAAATTATGCAAGTTTACCCTTGCAGTGATACTTTTGTGGAAGTAGATAAACTGCCTGGGGTTTAGGAGGTGTGAGTGTGAATACATTTGACCAAAGGTATTGTTTTCCTTTGACTGAGGAATAAAAATGACTTGAATGATTTTTTTCTTTTTTTCTCACTAGCTGGGCATGCAGAGGTGTGTGGAGATAGTTTTACGTGTTTAATTGATTTAATAATTTAAGGGCACTGTTATTTTATGTGCTTGCTGTAAAGAATAAAGGCATTTAATTTCTGAATTGGAATGTGCTTCAGTTTGTTTTTTGTTTGCTACGGTGTTATCCTTAAAGTAGCATTATGCATGGTTTAGCTGACATTTCTCTTGATTTAAACAGAAGGTACATTGGGAGGGAATGGAAGCGACCCCAGTACATGGTATCCAGAAGATCAGCAGAATTGGTCTGTGTGCAGCTCAGGTAGGCTGCTCACCCGTGGGTAGTGGGGAAGACTGGTGATCTTCGCAGTTGTTTGAGAAGAGTGGAGCCGACCTTCTCGGCGTCATGGCTAGGGCTCAGATAAATTTAATTAGTAACATTTACAGACTGAGGCTATTAGGTTTCCTTGAGGAAATCAAGCCCTTCAAAAAGTGGCTTTTCCTACTTAGTAGAAACAGGTAGAAACCAATGGTGCTTAAGTCTGGGTGCTTTGATCTCTCGTTGTGCAGCTCTGTTGCCATCGATCTGGATTTTCCTTGGTGCAAATCCACCAGCCTGAATCTCCCACCCGTCTGTACTGGAACCAAAAATGATTCCATGCTCCTCCCCAACCAGGCACCTTCAGGTATGGGGGGGGAGATCTGGACACTGGAAGGGAGGGATGGGTTTGGGTGACGCCTTTCCCCGTGGCTACAAGGTATGGGGGGAGGCGTCCGTGCCCACGGAAGTGGCAAATCCACGGGGCAACCCCCCCCCCCCCCCGATCCCCGCAGTGCCGCGGGACGCGTCAAAAGATGCCACCCCATTGCGGGCAGCCTGTCCCGGCGTGGGGGAGCCGCCACAGGGACGGGGCAGCCGCCTGGGCACGGCGCAAGCGTGGGCGTGTACGGGGTCACCCGTGGCGACCCCACAGCCCAACTTGCTGCGCCCACCCCTCCCCTAAGCAGCAGGGCAGGGGCAGGGCTGCCCGCCCTCCCAGGCCAAGCGTGAGGTGGAGCCCTGCGTGGGGTGTGTGGGGTCGGCGCGGGGAGCCCGTGGGGTTCCGTGGCGGGGGAAGGTGCGAGGAGCCGGGAGGCAGGGCTGTCCCGTTCGCGCCTGCCTGTTTCTCCGCCGCCCCGCGCAGGCGATCACCACGGGCGCCTTTCCCGGGGAGCAGCGGCGTCCTGCCGGAAGGGGCCCTCGGCGGCACTTCCGGGCCGGGCGGCGGCGGAGCGACGGCGGTAGCGGCACCGGCACCGGCACCTCCGCACCTGGGCCGGACCCGACCCGACCCGACCCCCCCCCCCTTCCCTCCCTCCGCGGGCCGGGCGGGCGGCACCATGATCACCTCGGCCGGTGAGGGAGCGGCGCGGGGTAGCGTTGCCCGCCGGGGTTTCGCTGAGTCAGGGCCGTGACTGGGCACCGTCGCAGGCCGCGGGGGCGCCGGGCGCAGCGCTCCGTGGGGCCGCCCGGCACGGGGGACTCTCCCCACCGCGGTCACCCCTGGCCGGTGGCCACCGTGCACCCTGACGGGAGCGGGAGGGTGCCCCGCGGCTCGCCACAACCGGCACTTGAAGCCTGAGCAGCGGGAGGCGTGGGGGGGTGGGGGTGCCCGGTGCCCGCCCCCGGGAGGGCGGTCGGGCGGCTTTGCGAGCCCCCTGGCAAACAGTGGGGTGCTTGCGCTGCGCTGGTTCGCTGAAGGTCTTCAGCTGGTCGAAGTGAGTAACGTAGAGGAGGTATAAAGCGCGGGGCAGGAGGGGCTGTAGGAGGTACAGCAGGGAATGAGAAAGGGGGTGGAGGCAGAGTTGAACTTGGGAGGGGGCCACAATCGCAAATGCTCTGCAGAGGAAAAGCCAGCCTAAAGAGTCTAGGCTAATGAAGCGTATGAGGAGTTAGGTATTAGCCACAGTTTTTGGATCTGCTGTGAACTTTATAGCGTAAGAAAATATGAGGAGTGTTTCCAGAAGTACTCAGGCCAGAAATTAATATGTGACTGGTTGTGGCTTTGTGAGAGAAACAGTGCAGAGGACAATAGTCTGCAAGCAACTTTCTCTTTCTGAACCCTTTGCTTTAAGTCTTATTTTAATTGAGGAGGAGTAGGAATTAGTTCCAGAGAGGTTTTAAAAAGGCAGGAATGGTATGTTGAACAGGAGTGAGATTGCTTCCTCCTGATAAATTAGGTAGATGCAAGAGCTTGGTGTGTGTGTGTGTGTGTGTGTGTAAATCATACATTTGGAGTGGAGTTGCCAAAAACAGCTGGAAGGAGCAGTGTGGGGTGGGCTACTGAATCTGCCTGCCTTGCCAAAGGGCCACGTCAGTGCTCCTTCAGTTGTTACTGACAGACATGTGTTTAACCTGCTCTTAAAAAATCTGTGATAATGGAGGTTCTACAATCTTGTTAGACAAATTGAATAACTGTCTTACTGTCAGAAAACTTTTTATCATCAAACTTCAATATTTGGAGCTCCAAATAAAACTTGGGGTTACTATTCCCATTCATATCTGACACAAAGATCAGATTATTCTCTTTTAGCTGGCAACCGCCCTGTCCATGTGTGCTCTGTGCACTTCCCAAATTTCTGTAGACTAACCAGTTACAGACCTTCAGTTAACCTTTTAAGTCCCCGTTGCCAGACCTCTTTGTTCTTCTTGCTCAGTTTTGAACAACCTGGTTTGCTCATAATTCCTAAAACATGGTGCCCAGCACTGGATACAGGGGTCTGGCTCAGGCGTGTCGATGCTGAGCAGAGGGAAGGATTGCCTCATACATCTGCCAAGAAACACTCTCACTTACACGTCTTGGTGTGAGGTTTGGGTTCTCTTCCTCCCACTGCAGCCATATGATACTATTGATCATGTTTCATTTTAATCCACTGTACTAATCAATTTCCTTTCTATATTTGTACATTTTTAGTTTTGACCTGTACACTCTCCTTTTAGATCTGTCAAGATCTTTTGAAAGTCCTGGTCAGCCATCCAGTGGGTTTGCGGGCCTTTCTAATTTGACGTCTTGTACAGGTTGATAACCTTTTAAAATCTAAATAACAGATGAAAGATTGAAAGCAATGAATTGTGTTGGGACTCTGATCAGATCCTGTTCCAGCTCTTTCACTTTCATCCTTCCTGTCTGACAATGAAACCATCTATAACCGTTCTTCAGATTGAGTTCTGCAAATAACTGTGAAACCTCTCTTTCACTTGTGTCAGTTAAACAGTATTTCTGTAACTGTTTGTACAAATGTTCGGGGACAGTGTCAGGAGTCTTGCTAAAGCTGTGAGATATGACATATTCCCTTAGCCATGAAGCCTGTTTCCTTGTCATGAAAAAAGTTAGGATGTTTTGATGCGATCTTCTTTATGCCCCTTGAGGAAGCGGG